CATCCACGGAGGGGTTTAATGACAGGTCCTATACCACAGAGTGGCTACAGGGTAATCCACATCAGACAATTACTAAACACCATCTTTGCACGTCTATGATGACAAAGAAATGCTTGCATTTTAAATATTAGTGCTGCACTGTGTGTTTTAATGTTTAGAGATCCATAAGTAAGGTGACGATATAATTAAATGTCCTACCTGGGATACTTCTAAAAGTGAGATTTTTTTTTCATAAAGGCTTAGTCAACAGGCATAGGTTGAGATGTCCTGGGCAGATTGGGACATAGGGTCAGCCTGTATATAACTGAAGCTCAAATAGCAAAAATTACTAGACTCATTGGAGTATGACTCATATCAGGATTCCAGAGTTATGGATGAAACATACTATTTTAGAAAAAAAGAAAAAAAAAATCCTTAAACCAAGAGTATTTAACCTGGGCAGCAAGGTAGACTTCTTGAGGGTCCTATAACTGGACCCAAAATCTGTGTGCATGTGTGTTTTTCGGAGGAAGGAGTCCCTCTTTCTACATATTTTTCATGGTGGGTGTAATCTGACTTAATAGTCATTTTTAAAGCATTATTTCTATTTTAGTGTTTCTTAGCAAGACTTACTTTTTAGGGTTTGGGGATTCTCCAAAGTTGTGCAGTAACAATGAAATCTTAAAAGATCCCCCAGTTCCAACACTTCACATCAATGTAATGCCAACGAATGCCAATTCTAACTTCAGACATTTAAGAAAATAGTAATTTGCCCCCCTCACCTAAATTATCCACTTTACTAATTCAGTGCATAGGGATATTTTTTAAGGATCAGTATTTCAAAGCCATTCCCTTCCACGATCTATAACATAAAATTGTAGTTTCCTTTAAAGGCTTCCTCTCTCCAATTTATTCTTTAGTGAATAATGTGGAAATCATATGAGGTACTAAGATTATATGTGGCATTAATGCAAAGCAAAAATGCTGCCTAAAGCATGTTTTATATAATGGCAAATAAAAATGCTAAAAAAAACCCCACAACAACCACCACCTGCTGAATCTTGCATTTTAATCTCCTCTCCTTAAAGCAGGAGTCCTCAGTTATAACCCCAACCATGCAACTGGACCACATGGCTGACCCCACAATAGCCTTTATTCCAGTAAAATGATTTGTGTGAGGGGCTAGCACATAATAGAACCTTTGGAAGGAGGCGGACAGGCTGAGAAAATATTATCAGATGCTTGGATTCAAGTTCAAATTCTTTATAGATGGCCTGAAACTGTGGTCAGCTTTCTACTGCGAGCAACACACAAGGTTTACTTTTTTTCCTAACTTTAATGCTGCCAGAATACACATGTACTTATACTTTCTTAGGAGAAAATGTGTCATTTGATTTCCTTCCAGTTTATGTACTTGTGCCAACAACTAAAATGCTTAAAGAATCACTACCCAGAAATGGTGGTCAAAATTCCAAAATTCGATCAATAAAATTGCTCATCTACGCACAAATTAATCTTCAGCCAGTAAAGTTACACATTTTCAAGGTTCTGAGCACACCTGCGCTGTTAAGCATTTATTTCACTTCTTTAAGCAAACTTCAGAAGTACATTAATATTTATAAAAGCAAGCCTACTATTTTTACTCACATATAATCTTTTTTTTGCAGCAAAACCTTGTTGACTCTTGGACAAGTCATAAGCATCCTGAAGGCAGGGTCTACAGTCTCGACATTTTCGTGTCTAGGAGCATCAGCGCAATGCCCTGAGTGTTGTGGCTGTTTCAGAAATGTTCACCAAGTTCCATTTAATTAATTCAGAGCATTCTGATTCTGAATTGACAATGGGGCCAATTTTCAATTTTCATGCGTATCATTCATAAAAAAAAAAATTTGCAAAGCAAATTAAGGGATTAAATAAAGGGCTTTTTAGGTTACTAAGGAGAATGTTTTTCAAGAACTTGAGAAGCATTATCTACACCCAATTAATGCCTTCATTACTACGATGTTACCCAAGAATGTGGCCAGCTCAGGTCCAGTTCTGCATGTGTATCTGCAGAGAGCATCACTTTTCTCTTATTTACTTGTCTCCCTGAAATTAGTCCAAATTGGTGATGTTTGACTACATTTTGTGATCTCTATCGAGTAACCACTCATAGCCTCCCCTAAACTTTCCATTTTCTTTTGTTTGTGTCATCAGCCTGTGAAACTGGAGAGCATTGCCAAACCTGAAGCAGAGAAGTGTGATATATGCTTAAAATATAAGTCACAGTATATTTGGGGATTTGAGGTCTTTCTTTTTTTTTTTCTTCTTCTTCTTCTTCAAGCAATCAGCCGATCAAATCCTTCTTCCCTGTCAGGCCTCCCTCTATGCGGAAGATCTGAAATTTGTGAAAATAGGTCTCTCCGTGTAGTTATGAAGCGTAAGAAGATCAGAAATGGCCACAGTTAGGATTTGCTATAGGATTTCCCTTTCATTTCTCAGCCACTCTGGCTGAGATGCCCCAGACAGGATGTGGCATGGCAAGATACATTTAAATGTGAAGGTTATTTCTCCCGTGAATCACTGAGACTAGATGTAGACATATTTTTATAACGAGAGAGTATACCATTGAACAGGGTTAGTAATTCCTCCTCTCTGTTTGAGGCAGGCCAGCCAGCCTAATAAAGCTTAGGGAATTTGCACGACCCTACCAGGCAGCTGAGGAGACACAGTCTAGGCTGCACACATGCTCATGTGTGCACACATGACAACCAACCTTTTTTTCCCCCCTCAATCAACTCCCTAAGGTTGGTCTAAATTCTATGCGGGTCACTTCTCCTGCTGAGGGGGTAGGAAGGGACTCAAAACATTTCCTTTAGCAAAACCAGCGTGAAGATGGCCCCCTCCTCCTGCACTTCTTGTATGGACTGAAGTGCTCAGCACAATGTTTGGTTGGTTGTGACACTATCCCTGCCAAGAAAAATCAAGCGCACTCACTGTATCATGCTCCCCTGGTGGCTAAGCAGCTTATGACGGGCAGGAAGAGAAGGAGCCTTCAGAAAGAAATTCCCTGAAACTTTACTTCACATATTTAGCCCAAAAGCAACTTCGTTCATCTTGGGAAACAAGTTACCTAAAAATGCCATATGTGTTTTAAAAAGTAGGAGGGAAAATGCATCTAGTACTAAAAAATTTACAATGCTGTTCAATACTGAAGAGCAGTGCATTAGACACCATGTGTACTTTTTATAGAATTATCTCTCACCAGCCAACTATGTGTTAAAATTCCTCACCCAATAACATATTGTCATTTTCCCAATGCAATTGAGGTCTGACAAATTCCAGAGGACTTGCACTGTTTTTAAGGCTGTGAGATCTCCAAGAGGGAGGCAGAAAGAACGGACAGTCATTTGAATCACTGAGTGACAGGCTGGGCTAGCTCCCTGTATACATTAATAAATTAGAATTTTAATTGTGTCTCTGTCTGCAGGAGATGCCCCAGTACTTTAATATATACCAACAATTGGCTATGTTCTGGAATCTGCAATGCGGCCCCTGCCGCTGACCTCTGAAACACAATTCCCAGACTGACTACGGAAACTGTTCAGTTTGATCCTTTCAACTTATTTGAATCCTGACAAATAAGCTCACAGCTGAAAGGTCAACACAGTCATATTTCATCCTCCAGAGCTGTTCTTAAGACATCTGTACAACAAAGCATTTCTTACAGCACCTGCCAGGGGCCCTCAATGGCACTGTACCTCATTAAGACTGTCCCCAGAATTCACGTACATTAAAAGGCGTATGGATTGGAGATGGCTTACCAAGCAACTTGTTTGGGGCAGGGTTAGCAAACAACGCACGCTGCCATTCAAACTCTTCCAATAAAGTGTTAACTGAGGGCTGAACTTTTCCCTAGACAGTGACAGTTCCCCAAGTAGATGAGAACTAGAACTCGTTGCCCAAGGTCAATTTGATCTTTGCAGGGTAATTTGGGAGCTGGTATTGGTTCACTCTGATCTGAGACAAGTCAACACAAGTTAGCATCTGGGTTGACCTCATGACCACATTAAATTGGCACCAACTTATACCTGCCAACTACTGCTATGCATTTGGTCTCCATTTGTTCAGGATGAGAAGCTCAGCTTTGCTTCCCACTTGGGGGATGCCTACTTCTAGCTATGAAAGTAGCTGAGCCACCTCATACTTGCAAGGGCCCTGTCTTGGATGTGGGCATGGATAAACTGAGTCCAGTTTCTTGGAAATTTCTATGACCATTTTCTACTCTTGAGTCAAAAATCCAGATTAGGTTTTCATGAACTCACTCCTTTTCACTTGGTTAACCCCTGCCCTCAATGTGCCTGAAATAATCAGTTGCCAAAACAGTCTTTTTTGGTATCTTTACATAAAGATTGCTTGCCATGTTTTATTCGTGATTTAGAAATATAACAAAAACATCCACTGAAGAATGCAGCGTGTGTCACATTCATTATTAGGCATATTAAAAGGACCATACCGTCCTCAGTTCTGAGGACAGTTCTTGACACTACTGACATTTTGGGCTGAATAATTCTGCACTGTGGGGGCTCTCCTGGTGTGGCGGGATGTTTAGCAGCATCCGTGGACTCTACCTACCAGATACCAGCAGCATCCATGCACCCTACTTATGACAACCAAGAATGTCTCCAGATGTTGCCCACTGACCCTTGTGGGGTAAAATCACCAGTGGTTGAAAACCACTGCACTAAAGGGAGGTGCATGTGTGTGTACCCCAAGGTAAGCTACACTGCCAAAAAAACAACTCATGCCTGTGACTACTCATCCCCCTATTATGTTGACTAAGAAAGCTTATTCCCAACAACAAAATATGGGGTTGAACAGATCTTTTCCCCAACACATCATATTCTGCTGGTAAACTAAAAATGCACCCTCTGCAGAAGATATTCTTACATGACTTGCAATTCTCAGCACAACCTGCTTCTGAATGGCTTATCAGCTATCCCAAAGTGTCTAACATCAATGCTTTTTGGAAGAATGGTTACCTGAAGGGCTGGTGGTTTGTCATTCCTCTTGGGCGATTTTAATCCGCTGACTTGCTGCTGCTGAAGGAGGAGATGTCTTGCCACTTGAAGAGCCTAAAAGAAAAACGGGAGAGAGACGGGGGCGTGAGTGCACGGGCTCACAGGTTCTTACGGAGAGGGTCCCAGGACCTGCACCTGGAATGGGAGCCCAACGTTCCCATCTCCGGGCAAATCAAACAGGAAGCAAAACTTCCCACCAGCCTCCATTGGGACACTTGCCAGAATTTGTTTACATTTTCTTAGATATAGCCAATTTTTCATCCTTAGTTCCTCGGACGAGGCAATCCATCGAGCCACACTTTATTCCTACCGCAAATCTGATGTGACACTTGGAGTATGAAGGATCGGGACTTTAAAGAAGGACGGCAGAGAGGCTAGGAAGGCCCTAGGCAGAGAGAATCTTAGGAGATGATAAAGAGCTCCCTCCTCCCTCCTCCAGTTCTTCTTGAGGGCTCCTGGGAACTCAAGTTGAAAGTAACATTTTGATCTCATATGGGTCCAAATAAAGAGGAAAAGCTAAGTGATGAGCCACACTGTGGACAGTTATTCGAGATGATCAAACAGCTAAGATATGCCCAGGATGACCTTCATGGACTATGTAAGGAAAAAGCTTAGAAAATTTGACCTCTGCGTTAACATAAAGGTATATTCTGTACCTGGAAACCTGGAAACAAAATCGGTATGTCTAATACAAGTGACTCTTTCAAGAATATATAACATGGGATGGTTCGTATTTAAAGGCAGGAACTGGAGAGGTGGTATGAATCAGAGATAAAGCAAAGGGAAAACTTAAAACAGTCCTTCAAAGAGCAGAAGATAGGACTGATCAATCTTTTAAAAGTTCAAAGGAAAAAAAAAAGTGTGTCATCAATAAACTCTCACGAGGACACTTCTTGTCAAAGAAATTAACAGGAATAAAAGCTAGCCACACCATTGCAAAGAAGACACCAGTATCAGCAATGGAAAACTGAAGTGTGCAGACGTTGCTAGAAAATCACATGACAAGTTAGGTCAAAGTTAGATCAACACAGCTGAGAAACAAGAATGGACACGTGGAAGAGATGGTAAAGAATGTTCTGAAATGATGTGCTTAGAGTTTAAAGATGGGATGAGATTTCCTGGGGTTACATCAATAGTAATTTCTACATGGTGACTAATTGCTTGTGCCTGAAAGATGATGTGCACATCAATGTGGCCGATGTATCAAAAGGATCTGATACTGTAAGTCTCAGAAGGTGTGTGTGATGCTTGTGTGTTCCTTAAAGAGGAATAGAGACTTCATTTATGTAAAAAGACACTGCACGTAGTTTCAAGAAAAGTTACAGTGGCACGACGGAGTTGGGGACAGGTAAGATGGCACGGAGGTTCCTGTGCACCGAACTTGGGGGGCAGGAGAAAAACAGCCTGGTCGGGGGATTACGGCTCATGAGCACACACCTAAAAATGCTGAATCGGCGTATTTCTCCTAAAAGGCCAGTCTCACTAAACTGAGCTTGTGACTGTACTACTGGAACAAAGAACATTTTCAAAGTCACTCTGTAAGGTTGAGTGGTGCCTTTGTTTAAGGGGCATAAAGGGAGGCAACTAAACAGAAGGTGAGATAAGTGGGTGGCAAAGAAAAGATCTTAGGATAGATGGACCCATCCTATGCCGTCTTCCTCCTGAACCCACCCACCGTGGCCCCAGGAGGAGGTCTGCCGACTGAAAGCACCACAGCCAGCCCTTCGGATGTCATATCCTGTCTGTGAAGGGAGAGACATGTTCGAGAAAGCCTGCCTGGAAGAGCCTCCAGAAGAGACGCTGTCGGAGAGGGGAATGTGGAAGCCAGGGCGCCTGGGAGAGTTGCCTGCGACTCCAGCCTGCTGTCTCCGAGCAGGATTCACCATCACTGGACTCCCGGCTTCCTGGTCTCCTTGGAGACGCTCAGTACACGCGTGGGTGTGAAAGTGGGCAGAGTGAAGATTTCATTTATATCATATAAGAAAAATAGTCCCCTTTGCAAGGTGCCTGCAGGAGCAAAAGCCTCTCCTCCTACTATATATGCTCCCTTAGCTATTTCACATGAAGGTTTTACAGCTTTTTAATGAAGGAAAGGGAACTGTTACATATTTTAAGGGCTACTGTCAAGAGCTCCCAGAGTAACAGACTGATCCGCAGAAAAGAGTCTGGCTACTAGTTGGAAGACAGTAGATGACAGTGACGATAGTGCAGAGAAAGACGTGGTGCGGCAGGGGAGAAACATGAGGCACATTTAGTACTAAAACAGAGCAAGCAACGGAAGGGAAGTCCACACAATCACAAACCTTTGTTAAAATGATTTACCACGTTCCACCAAATATTTGGAGACCAGGCACTCAATTTTTAAATAACTAAGTGTCAGACAATCTGTGTGGTCAACTCCTCATTTCAGCAAAAGGGATGATANCACACACACACACACACACACACACACACACACACACACAGAACCCATCTGAGATGAGCATGTTCTCAGAGGTGCACCTAAACAACAAAAAAAAGTATAGGACACAAACCTAACTTTTAAACAAATGATTTTTGAGCTGTCTCTGTATATTTCCAAGTGAGCTACTGGGATCTTTGTGATTATTTTTCTGGTTGGAAAGGGAAAAAAAGGAAGTCATTCATGTGTATAACATCTTTTTTCAGACCCAACACGGGGTTCGTGAACTTAATCACATCATGGATTCTAGCTCCCCCGCAGTATTTCCCACAAAGCCCCACTAAAGAAGATGATCAAGGATAGAGGCACAGGGAAGATAAAGGTTAGGGACTTGTAGAAACACAAGGGGAATTTTAGTCCAACTCCTGAAGAGAGAATGTGTGATCAAGATACACGAAGTGGAATCCACATTTCGTCCTCAGCATGAATGCAAGCAGATAAAATAATTTCAGATATTTGGGACGGAGAGACTGACACTGGTGCAAAGAATTATTCATCTTGAAATTAACTGTTAGGAATTACTCCACTGTAATTCCCTGGCCTTATCCTGAGTATGGAAACAAAGCAGAAGTGAAGTATTAAACCTCCCCACCCTCACCCCCAAAAGTCAACTTAGGTCCCAGCAAGAGTTTTAAAATCTAATTTGTTAGAACTTACAAAGTGCTATGAAATCAACCATTAAAGGGCACTTGCTTTCCTTATTTCTATGATATATAAATCACCGTGATCCTGATTTTAAGTCCCACAACAAAAGAAGAAAAATAAAACCTCAGTGTATGAAACTGCATATTCGAGCATTACAATGCAAACCTCCAGTATCTACCATCTGCAGAAAGTCAAAGGTACTTAATGCCATGTTCACTGGCAGCCAGCGGAAAAATCTGGAGTGACTGATGAGATCCTTTTGGAAGCCACCAGACCTGTGATCACTTCCACACAGTTACCTGACGACTGTTTTTACCTGTTACGTGCATCACCATGAGATTAAAGCCTGCCATCTCAGACTCCACGGCCTGAACCTCAGAGATTTGTCCCAATACAAGTGAGGAGTGGGGATGGACTTGTCTTATTTTCCTAACAGTATCTCAATCACAGACGGAGAAAGACACCTGAAGATATTCTGGTTGAAGGTGAAATCAGATCCTCTGGATATAGAATAATAAGGTGCATGAACATGTGTTTGTATGTGTATGAAAGGTGGTGGGAGGGAGAAAAAAAGAGAGAAAAAGGATAGAAATAAATGAAATAATTTTTCTTTGTGGAAGCAGGGACCAAAAATGACTCAGCTCCAGGGCCAACTGCTAATGTAAATAACTTAAAAGGTCCCATCCCATCTCTGGAGACCTTTCAGCTTGATGGTGGATCCTAGACTGGGATGAGTCAACACTTGCTGGTATACCAGAAGTGACAATTGCTTGGCACTGTGTAACTAGGTGCTGTATTTGAGGGCTGGGTTCAGGTTACACTAAAGACCCAGTTCAAGGATCTCACAGAGTGGAGGCGACTGAGAAAGCCAGGCACTCGGAGCCCAGTTGCACACACTCACATTTATTTCCCATCGACAAGTTAGAACAACGGCTCTGGGGGCTAAAAGAAGAAAGGGGCAGAAAGCAGGGATGGCCCCACCTGTGATCAGCGAGCCTCCCTCTCTGCCTTGACTGCCTTCTACATCCCCATCTGCCCAAGGGCTGGAGTCACCTTATGATCAGTATGCCATGGGCCCAGCTGGCCTAGTACCCTGCGCAGGGAGATGGCTGCTTGGCTGCTAGGTGGCAGGCTACGCTTTTATGCAACCTAGGGATGGAGGAGTTCTTGACACACCTTCCATTCTATTGGTTTCAGATCACTTCATTTCCATCAACGCTTTCACATTCCTAGTAAGTAAGTGCCATTTGTTATTTACAAGTCACATTTTACATAAGCATGTTTATAACTTTTGAGCTATTTAAATCTCAAGTTCACAGCAGGTGCTTCTACTTTAGAAGGCTAAGTATCCCTATGTTTATCAAGGTAGCTGATGTTCAAAAAACATGTTTACTGTATTTTAAGAAACATCAGTAAGTTTACATAAAATATGGTTTGAGTAAGCACGCATACATACACACAGCAAGTGGTAGAAGGAAAGAACATTCATACAATTTCTGCACATCACACTTGGTGATGAGGCCTGAGATAAGTTCTGATATGGTGTGTTGGTGGTGGGTGGGGGAGGGGTGCTTCAAAAAATATGACTAACTGCAATACTTTAGGTCATGGGTTGTTAGCAAAGTATGACCATGGACCAAAGCCAGCCCATCACCTGTTTATTTTTGTTCAGCTCAAGAGATGAGCTTTTACTTATTTGAAGGGTTGGAAAATAATAAAAGAAGAATATTTTCTGATGAGGGAAAAATATACAGAATTTAGATTTCAGTGTTCACAAATAAAGTTTTATTGGAACACAGCCATGCTCATTTGCTGACACACTGTCGAGGGCCATGTTGGTACCACAAAGCAGAGTTAAGTACTTGTGACAGAGACCTTGTGGACCTAAAAACCTAAAATATTTCCGGTGTGGGCCTTTAAAGGAAAAGTCTGCCAACCTATGTCTCAG